CTGTATGTATGTATGTATGTATGTATGTATGTATGTATGTATGTATGTATGTATGTATGTATGTATGTATGTATGTATGTATGTATGTATGTATGTGTGTGTGTGTGTGCGCGCGCGCGCCCGCGTGTTTTAACTAGGGTTATCGTAATTTGCTCAGGGACACACCCCAGTGACCACCCACCCAAACCTCATGACATCGACACTCGCCTGACATTATTTTACAGTCTGAACTCAGTACACACTCTACCACTGGAGCGCTTTTGTTTTCAGGTGACGAGTGGGGCGATCGCCTCCGACCCGATCCGACCCGATCCGACCCGATCCGACCCTATCCAATCCACAATTGGCACCCCGTATTTAAGAGTCTAAAGGATGGGAATGAGTACCCGGCCATAGACAGCGAAAGATCTTGGCAGTATGTTAGTGCTTTAGCACCTATAAATGGCTGCTTGCACTGTATGCTTCCCAGGAAGTTGAGGTTGTTTCTGTATGCTCTCAAGTCTGCTGGGGTAATAGTATAGATTGTGAAGCGCGTAGAACTTGCTGTTGAGCGGGGATTTGCGCTATACAAATGCCATCTATTATTATTATGAATCAAAAGGGCTTCCTACCAGGTCCATTCTGCTGGGCCAGGGTCAACTCTGCGAGGAAGACCAGTAGCAGCGGCACAAGGACCAGGAGCAAGGCCGGCCGATCCATGCTGGAGCCCGTCCTGCTCTCTGACCTAGAGGAGAAGAAAAACAGAAAGGGGCAGGGGGGGGGGTAATGAAGATGTGATCTGATATTGTCCTTTTTTTTATTGTTGTTGTTTTTCTCTGTTTTTGGGGGGTGGTGGTGTTTTTTGTTTTAGTAGAGGCTTTACTGCGCTCGCAACCTCATAAGGTCATATGAGCGCCAAGTGAGAAGTCCTAATAGAGAATCAGACTTACTCTGCTCACCTCTCTAGCTTCAACAGCACAAGGTCTGCTTCGATTATCAAGGCACCACAGAAATAGCGGGTCACAAGAATGTGACAAACATACAAAAACAAATATAGAAGTGGAAAAATGACAAGAGTCAAGATTAGGAAAGAAAAAGCAACAGTTCCCTGTTGCAGTTCAGGCGCAGCTATGAGCATGGTATTGGCGAATCAGCCCATTTACAATTACAATTTTACTGTGCATTAGAACGTGGTTAATGCCCCCCCCCCCTTCCGCTTGGAAAAGCCTAAAGGCCCTTTAGTCAGTAGCACCACCCCGGGTATTGTCCATCTACTCACAAATGATAATTAAAGTCAGTGCCCCCTGGTCTTAGAGTAGGTAAGATCTAACACCCGGCCTTCTCGGATAAGAACGAAAAAAATCTCGGAGGTCATGTGTGCAAGTTGGGCACATTAAAGATCCCTTGGTGGTCTCAAAATCGATAAGACTTGGGCTTTGGTGCCACTCAGCAAAATTCAAAATTACCTCCTACCAAACTCAAAATGCTTAATGAGTCCCGCACGCTTAAATATGACTTTATGCAGTTGCAAGCGCAGCAAAATTTTTAAAACTCAGTGCTTTATAACCTTATTTTTTCTTTGTATAGCTATCGGCCACTTTTGCCACCATTTGGAGGCTACAATTTTCATACTGCCAACCTACATGTACAAACTGTTCTGTATATCAGAGCCGGGCATTGAATAATACCTCGTTACACCAGAATTACAAAGATCTGACATTTTTGGCCGTTTTGAGCTACTTAGACCATGAGGTCAGAGACCAAAAAATGTTCTATCTGCTCTTTCGAAATGGTAAGAATGTTTTTCAAGACATTCATCCAAAGAAATGTGCTCGAAAAAGCTTAAAATAATATTTTATTGCGGAACTAAAAAAAATGTTAGGTCCATTTTCTCAAAATTAGATCCATAGGTACTGAGCAGATGAAAGTTGTTCCCGCATCCGATCCGGACATCGGGGATTGCCTTGTTAGTGAGACAACTTCCTGGACCTTCGGCATATTGTGGTAGGGTGGCCAGTTCCTTTCCACGCTGCTTTTATTTCCCCAACTCGAATTCAGGTACCAAGTACTGCTGGGTGGGCAGGAGG